ACAAACTTTCCTTTAGCAATAAAGATCCTTGAAACCAATTTTACCCTAATAGAATAAGTAGATACATATATAGATAGATAATGTGCTTTATTGTCTAAGATCTTACAATATATCTTGTTGTTGACAAAGTTGAGTAAACTAAACTAAAACTAATTTCTCAACTACAAACAGAAATAATATTAAGCTAAAGCTGAGCAAGATTAAAATTCAACAAAACAACGAGTCAAAAAAGTTTAAAATTTAAAATGCAAATATAAAATTAAGGTTGAATGAAGTCATCTCACAACAATACAATAAAATTATAAAAATCAAGCATCATATAAGAACATATAACATAATTAGAAATTCTAAGACAAATTAAAATTGATAAAATTAACAAAATTATATAAAATATAATAAATATAAATATTAAAAAAAAAAAAAAACTAAAAATCTCAAGTGGTCCCAATAAAACTCAATCAAGTCGCAATAAGGCTTGTCTAATAAAATAGGTCATGGTTTCCTCTTGAAATGAGACAGACTTTGGATCTTCCTCAACTCCTGAGGCAGGTGATTGTATAGCTTTGTTCACTCGTAGTAGTTTGAGTTTTTAATCGATTCTAAGTTCGGTATTAGAAGAGGAATATCTATCTTGCCCTGCCACTTGCATAACCACCGTCGTAATAGCCAGATAACACTCGGTTCGTGTGGATCAATGTTGCAGTGCCAAACAAAGGTCTGCACGACTGTCAGATGAGCACGTCTTTTCTGCAGTAAAAATACTATGCTGGAAAGTGGTATGTATTTAAGTTGCCTGCCTGCACTGTGATATCGGGTTGGCAACACTGGAGAGTCAGTTGTTGACGTTTTGATTGTCAGGTCGGTCGCACGGTCGAAGTAGTTTTTCTCGGATAATAGAGCTATCTATTTTTACCTGGTATGGGCGCGCAACACGAGGCAATGCCTTTTTATTGGCTAACTAGTACAGGTGTGAGATGTTCTTTTTGCACGCTGGGCGTCTCCTTGTCCTTGTTCATTGCCCATGGTCTGACAAGAATAGAAGTACGGTTGGTATTGAACTTGACATAGCTTGACAAGTGATATTCAGAAGTTGTTTGAAATTTTCTTGGCAACTACGTTCCACAACACGTGGTCTTTCTCCTTCCCTCGCTTTTTATGCCGTACAAATAAGAAGAACGGATAGCTATACGTAAGTCTAACATAATTTGGTACGTTTTGCCTCGTCTTGCGCAATGAGCGTTCTGTGTCTTTTTTTATCTAATGAAGTTTTCGTATTATTGCCTCTTTGTCTGGTAAAATAGATATAGGTCTATTATCTTGTGGATTATTCCTTATTCCTGTGCTTTCGCTAGTTATTACGAATCGTATTAATAAACCCATCAAGTAAGTCTGACCTCTCATTTACTGAGGTTAAAACTTTACATTTTAGCGACGAGTGATGGTAATCGGGTTCGTGTGTCGTGAGGTTAGGTAATCCACATTAGTTGACGGACGTGTGTTCAGTTTTTCAGTGCTTCCATGTCCGATTCTGGTAGCAGACTGACGCGTTCCCGACCGTAAGTTGTATTTATGTGTGAGTGGCTGTGGTGGGGGAGGGGCAGGGTTTCGCGGCACGTGGCTAATCTCAACTTCCTTTGTATTCAATGGGATCTTTCTTGCGTTTTTGAGGATCGGATTCCAGATTTGGTTAAGTACGCGTGGCTAGCATCTTCAGAGGTGCTTCCATGTCCGATTCTGGTAGCAGACTGACGCGTTCCCGACCGTAAGTTGTATTTATGTGTGAGTGGCTGTGGTGGGGGAGGGGCAGGGCTTCGCGGCACGTGGCTAATCTCAACTTCCTTTGTATTCAATGGGATCTTTCTTGCGTTTTTGAGGATCGGATTCCAGATTTGGTTAAGTAAGTGTTTCTTCTTTCCTGTTGAAGTTCTCCGTATGTTTGTGGATTTCTACAGCTTCACGTACAAGACGATTGTGGTATCTGGAAGTCGGTGCAAGAAGCTTACCTCACCAAAGAGTATTTCATGATTCCCATCACTAAACACATGTTCCGCAACTGCCGATTTTTCCGATTGTCCTAGTCTGCAGTTTCTTTTGTGCTCGTTCATCCTGGTTCGCATGGATCTTTTTGTCGTTCCTATGTATACCTCACCACATCTGCATGGTATACGATAGACTCCAGCGCTTGACAATTGGTTCCTCTTATCCTTGGCTGATCTGATTGATTGCTGTATTTTCCTTGTTGGCTTGAAGTACAGAGGAAGTTGAGATTAGCCACGTGCCGCGAAGCCCCGCTCCCCCACCACAGCCACTCACACATAAATACAACTTACGGTCGGGAACGCGTCAGTCTGCTACCAGAATCGGACATGGAAGCACCTCTAAAGATGCTAGCGAAACGTCAGGAAGAAATTCCAACTTACGACATAATACTATCTTCGTACCAGCGTTCTTGCAGATTAAGCGCTCCTTCAAGACACCCCAAGCACATCGCATCTACTCCAGAACTGAAAAAGCATTTCTCCGAGAGCGAATCCACAAAACAAGGAAGGATCTGGCTGAAGTAGATAGAGAACTACTTCACCTACATCTGACGCTCAGCAACAAAATACAAGCAAAGGAAAGGAGTAAAAACGCTCAGATTCGAAAATACGAGAAGTTCTGTAAGAAACTAATCCGAATTTCCGCAGCATCTGACAAATCCAGACTGGTCATCAAGCTCACGGATCGAGTCCTTACCGAAGAGGAAACAGCCGTCTTGGCAAAAGGCGGTAATCACTCCACAATAACTGCCAACGGAGGACATTATAGCCAGCACTGAATCAGCCATCAGAGCACTACCTGATGTGGAAGCGGTAGAAATCCGTATTGAGATCAACATTCTACCAAAGGCTCGACTACCAACCAGTAACCTCTCTAAGAAGGAACTAATGGCAATTAGGAACCTGAATTCAGCGGAAGATATGATCATCCTACCTACGGATAAGGGCAACGCAACTGTCCTGTTAAGAACTGAAGACTACAACCGGAAAATTCAGGAACTCCTTGATCCATCTACCTACTAAAAGCTAAAGAAGGATCCCACACAAGCCACACTTCGGAATACCAACAAACTGATTAGGTCATCTACCCTAACAGACACGGTTAAGAAAGTCATCATAAAAAAAACAGAAGCAGTTCCACCACGACTCTACGGCCTACCCAAAATTCATAAACCGGAAGTCCCGCTAAGACCTATAGTGAGTACACCTGGAGCATCAACGTACAACCTAGCGAAACTTCTTGCATCACTTCTCCAACCGCATGTGGGAAAAACTAGCTCTTACGTCAAGGACTCCACTCACTTTGTCCGGAAAATTAGGGATATTATTATTCAACCTAACGATATCCTGGTCAGCTTTGATGCCGTGTCCAGTGTTGCCAGATGAATTTAAAAAAAATCGTGAGAATCAGGAAAGAAAAATCGTGAGAAATCGTGAGACTATTAAAATTGCTTAATATTGTAAGAAAATAAAGCACAACAATGTTTTTTCATATATTTTTCACAAAGTAAACATGATTTTACATCCATAAGAAATAAACATTTTATTATTAAATCTTGTATCCTTGTTTTTTCCATTTTTTAGCAGGTCTTTCTGAGAGCTGAACCTCGTTTTCACTATCCGCTATCCGCAGGATTGCTCATCTTAATAAGTCGTCGATTCTCGAGGCGGCAGCTGGTCTGCGAGTGACGTCACCACTATCAGCAACTGATAGTGGTGACGACATCCGCAGACCACGATGGAATTTTAAATTTAGAAAAGGATAATGCATTTTCTTCCAAAAGTTGAGGTCTACAGCTGACGTCACAGATAGTGGGGTTTCGTGGACTTCGCAAACACTTTCAGCTCAATAAGCATTCCTATATTACGTTAAGTGTTCAGGCGCGCATGTACCAGGAGCAGCGTAACATAACTAAATATTGTATAGTAGATTTTTATTTCGATTATTCTCGATTACATTATATTTGATCAGTGATTTGATTTACTACAGAGATAATTCGTGAGAATTGCTACCTCATTCGTGAGATCGTGAAATTTTGACCAAAATCGTGTAATTTTACGAATAATCGTGAGATCTGGCAACACTGGCCGTGTCCCTATTCGCAAAAGTGCCATTGACAGAATCTCTTGACTTGATATCAAGTACCTTCCCGATTGACATAGTTGAGCTTTTCCGGACATGTCTCACTGGTAGTTACTTCCTGTGGAACGGCGATTTCTACGAGCAAACGGACGGTGTAGCTATGGGAAGTCCGCTCAGCCCAGTCATAGCCAACTTCTTTATGGAGGAATTCGAGAGGAAAGCTATAGAATCTTTTGACTACAAACCAACGATATGGCATCGATACGTAGATGATACTTTTGTGGTTTGGAGTCATGGGGAAGAAAAGCTTAACCAGTTCCTAGGCCACCTGAACGAGCAAAATCTTAGCATAGAATTTACCATGGAAAAGGAGAAAAATCAGGAAATCGCCTTCTTAGATGTGCTCATAAAGAAATCTGGAGGAAAACTAAGCCACACGGTGTACCGAAAACCTACACACACAGACAGGTATCTGCATGCACTCTCAAACCACCATCCACCAACCACCTGGTACTTTGGCTCGTTATCTAGTGCCAAATTTTAAAACATGAGCTTTTCCATATAAAAAGCCTTCACAAAGTTCACAATCAAAGTTAACTTCTATGTCCAGGTCATGCTTCAATATGGTCCTTACATGTCTCTTATTTTGATGTCCAAATCTCTGGTGGTATAGCTGTAGCACATTGTTGTCGCTGACTAAATTAACTTCTTTTGGTAAAGACGGTTTAGTATCCAACTTGTATGAGCCTCCTGAAATATTCCTAGAACCCACTAGAATGGTTTCTCCAAATAACTGAAAACTACAATGTTCTGCCTTCGAAAAAAACTTTCTAAATTTCTATCTTGTGCGGATAACGTTGAAAACAATTTTTCCTTACATTGGGTACATACCATTTTGCCAGTAAAAGCTGGTGCTTCTCTCATTTCACACATGATTCAACTATTATGGTTCCATGACCAAGGGCTGCTATTGAATTTCCGTTTGCTGTGGTAACTTGGTGATAACCATCAAATGGCACGTAACTTTCAAACCAATCACTTTGGTTGGTGATATGATTTGTTGCACCGTGGTCGATATACCGGTTGCTCTTATCATTCTCGCAGTACAGGATATCGTTTGTAACAACAATTCTCTTTTTCTTAGGTGGCTTAGCATCCGCTTTCCATTTAGGACACTCTTATGAGGCAACTTTTACAAGTGAATTTGCTTTTTCTTTGATATTTGCAATGCTTCCTGCTTCGTTTCGGTTTTACCAAATAAGGCTTTCTCATATAGACAGATCTGATTTAGTAAATTGTCTATAGTTCTATTTTTATTCGACATTATGATCCAGCTAGACTTGAATGAGAAATAGAATAGTTTTAGAAAGTCTTTTTACTGAAGGTAGTTAGATATGTGCAGCATTGCTGGATCTCGCCACCAAGAGTATAAACTCTGTAATTGTTATTAGTAAATATACCAAATAAAGACTTCTTGATTGATTTACTGAAGTACTCGTCAGGTACAGTCTCCAAAATTTTGTAAAATCAGAAAAATCGCACTTGTATGGGTATAGTGCAGTCATTTTATCTTTCATGATCTCTTTTTGTAAGTCATCGAAACTAGTTCACCTTCTATTACCTCCAGTACAGTCCACCTTTAATTCCTCTCAACAAAATGCATAGCTTGTATTTCCATGTATTCCAATTTGTTTTCTCTTCAAGTTAATGAATGAATTATTATTATTTTATCTTCTGGGATGCTGTGGTTTTTTTTGTGTGTTAATTCAGGGCTACATTATCTAAGGGTATATGATGTCTACGTATTTGAAAAACATGCACAACTCAACAAGGATTATACACAAAAAGTAAAAATATGGTATGTAATTATTTGAGTTGGAAGCAACTTTTTAATAAATTATATAATGATTTAAGCATGTGGCCTTTATCAACAACCTTTTAAAATCGGTCGTCGTAGGTGATCGATACAATGGCCGTCATAAAATTAGTGTGAATGGAGTGGCGCCTCTCTATAGACACGCCCTCGCTTGTTGCTGTTGACGTGGTGTAACGATAATTGAGGTTTATGTAAATGTCAGGAGCTTTGAAATTGAAACTGGATTTGGAGCTGGCGAAGCAAAAAATTATCCGAGTTTTTTTTTTTCATAACTAACGCACGTTACTGCAAATTTATTCTTTGTGAGCTGAATAAATAAAACAAATTTACTGTTAAAGCACAAAGCGGATTACATAAATCTGCATTGGATTATTCATATCAACATTATTCACAGGATATGTGAAAATGAGGTACCTATATTTGAGGAGGAAAATTTTCTGTAAAAAAAAAAACTTTCAAATTTATCGTAGCCTTTAATACCCCTAACTAAAAAGTAGGGGCGTTTTAATAAATCACTTTTAACGCTTTAAAAAGTTTTTAACAAATTACCTTCGGTGCCGCGTGCAAAACGCTTATTTTACTCGGTTCCTTTGTCTTCCGCAAGGACGATTAATTATTTTAGTTTCTATAATAGTGTAGGTACATTTTATTTAAGTTTGCCTGTGAACCTTAAAAAAGATCTTTCCAATTAAAAACTTCCCTTGTCCCAAATGTTCGCAAGGTTGGGACATTTTCTTTGGTTTTAGGGTCAGTATTTTTTTTTCTGATAATAATGCTCATAGTAGTGATATAAATAAATTTAAACCAACAAAAAAAATTACCTTCATGTTATTACATACTCCTCTTGGTCCCTTGGAAGAGGTAACATTGAAATTGGTTTGATCGATGGGTTTGATATATAAACTAGGAGTACCAGAAGAAATATAAACTCTCACCCAACATTTTCCAGTAAAAATTAGATTTTCCAACATTCTGGAAATCACAAACATTTTCAGTTCCTGTCTTCGTTCACCTTCGGATTTAATTTTCATTTTCAAATTCATAAAACAAAGGGTGACTTCACCCTCTGGTTAAGGAAACAATGTAAAGATTAGGTGCCGATGTGACGAGAAGAATAAATGTTTTAGATTAAAAATTATTGCCAACCCCAACAAGTATCAACGTTTGCTTTTTTATTCGTTTGAGAGTCCAGATAATATCGCACTACTGAAATGTACGTAATTTCGTGGTAAATTCAAATAGTGATGGAATTAATGGAATCGTTCAAAATGCATAAACGCCCTTCGCATATTTGCACTACTCACACTATACTCGCTCGATTTTCCCCGGATGTAGTCTAACGGCAAAAATTCCAAATTGGCTTCTCACACATTTGATGTTTGCCTGTGAAAATATTGAGTGGGTTTCACTGCACCCTACAAGATTTTTATCGCTTTATTTGGGTAAAAATTGGAATATCTAGTTTAGATTACTTTATGTACCGAGTCAATAAAATAGTTATGAACAGCAGGCACCAAAAGAAAAAAGGAATCAAAATTTAATTCTAAATAAATTGTTACTTTTTTCAAATTTCCAATAGCTAGGTAGTCTCCTCACTCATTTCTTCCATAATTCTAATTAACATCGGCTAAATTGCAAAAATACTATTCATTTAATATTACTCTCCTAGTAACCCGAATAACTGCAAATTAACCTAATCAGCATAAATTAAACTACCTACTACTAACTTGGTTATTTAATTAAAATGGACTGCAAATAATTAGGTCTAAAATCAGGGCTGGTCGATATCCGCTGCCAATGTGCAAACAATAATATAAAATTATTATTTCGACCGTTTTGCTTACTCTACCTCCGAACGCCCCATCGGTGCATTAAATGAGCTTTTGTACAATAATTCGAACCAACAAATGGAATTTTAGCGTTAATTGATGTCCGTATTAAATACAATTTAAAGGGAAAAATAAATGAGGGTGAAATTGTTCTTCTTTATTGGCCATGATGTCGGTCATGTCTTTCAAAAGAGAAGTGACAATTTAAATTGTAAGACTCAAGACGAATTTAATCTAATAAACGCCACTGAAAGGAGGGATAACCTTATTGCTTTTTGGTATTAATTTTTTGACTCAAAAATAAACTCATTTAAAGGATTTCGAATGATGTGAAATATGAAAAAAAAAAATGACTGCAAAGGAATAATCTAAAAAATGAATTCTCTTTTTGATCGCTGATATTGAGGTAAGTAAGGCTAATTTTATTATTAGATATTATCATGATGTGCCACAGATTTTACATTAGAAGATAAATATAAATATATTTTTTTTGAAATCTATGCCACTCAATATTCGTGATCAGTTGACCTGAATCTGTGAGTGCAAAATGTACAATCTAGGGCCGGTTGCTCAATAGCAAGTCACCTCCGGGTTAAGCATAACTCTAGGGTAAACATTGCAACTGAACAAGTTTACCCTGGAGTTAAAACCAACCCGGAGGTGACTCGCTATTGAGAAACCGACCCCTAAAGTATCAAAAACGTAACAAAAAAATCAGGTAAGTGAGCTAAAGAGATATTTTTTATTAAGTATTTTATGTCATTCGTTTTTAAAACATTTTTTCATCTTAAAGTGTCTTCAAGCCAAAGTCGGTAATAAAAATGAAATAAAGGAAGAAAAAAAATGCCTGCTGAAAGCTTTTTATGCTGTTTTTATTAAAGATGGTAAAAGTTTTTCGGCGTCACAGATTTAATATCTTTCACAATCAGCTTACACAATATTGATGTTTATGATATACATAACATTGGAAAAAGTCTGCATAGTTTTCCTTCCTATCACTGCTTTAGAATACATCCATGAAATTACCCAAAACATCAAGAATAGTATATTGTTGTATTAGGAGTAGAAGCTTTACTTTTTTGTGCTGAAGCAGTAGGTTTGCGAGCCGAACGTAGTGAGGCTTGCAATACTGCTGAAGCACAAAAAAGTGCTTCTACCCCGTATGCAACACGCTATTTTTTCTCCAAACTAAAACCCGGGACACATCTATCATGCATTCTTCCGATCCGACTCCGATCATACTTTCAGGGTCCTTATTCTTGGAACAGGGAGCAGCGTTCCCAGGAAAGTGAATGTTTCGCTGCTCCCGTGTTCCAAGAATAAGGACCTTGATTGTATGATCGGAGTCGGATCGGAAGAATGCATGATAAATGTGTCCCGGCCTTTATGGGGTAAGCTCGGGAGCAAGTGAAGGGTTGAGCGGCAGTAAAAGTACGAGCGGCACTAAAAGTACTTTTGCTGTCGCTGGGGTTGCCAAGCAGCATATAAATTAAACTTCTACCACCTCGAAAGGTGTTAACCCGCTGGATTTGCCTGGCAGAATAGAAATCAAATTTCTGACATCTTGACAGGGGTTAACAAAGTGACGTTTTTTTGACGTTTGGAGGAAAACGCTTTTGCCTGTAGAATATTCTTTCCATCTTTCATTAGGTGAATCTATCCTAGATTAGATAAGGACGATTTTTTAGGCTGTATTCATTAAACGAGTAATTTCAAGAATCAATAAATAACAATCCTAATAAACTTACTGACTCCACTTACAAATTTCATACAATATGATACACAGATTTTCCTATAACTTCATTGCCATTACCGTGCTGGCTTCCAGACATTTTCCATTTATTTTTAGACCTTCCGGAATCGAATTATTTCGAAAACTAACGCCAACGTTCGCCTGACTAAAGGCCATGATTTTCGAAACTTTTCTCTCTTCTATAGCCAGTGTGTAGCTTGGAAATTAGCCCTCTGAATGGCTGAAGAATAAAATAGGGCACATTTTTCTCCAGCATAATAGGGTGTAGTGTCGTAAAAAGAAGTTTTTATTTGATAAACTTCCCCAATATTTCACTAGGCAAAAAGTTAACAAAATAAAAATAATAAAATTTGTAATTATTGTGTGAAAATCTTATTAAATATGCTTGCAATTGAGTGAAAATTACGATAATTAAAATGAGTTGATGATTATTAACTTATGTATAAGCTGCGAATTGCTGCTCATAAATATTTAA